AAACTGGCCCTTATAGTATGTAGTATGTAGTACTATAGATTGCAGTTTGTTTCTTAAGTCTTTTGTTTTCACTCATCGCAATATTTTGCAAACGACTGGCATTGGGATTGGGATTGGGATGCCTTTGGGCGTATAAATTATTTTCTACATGCACTGTACGCTGCAAGTTGCGTAGTAAATAGAATATTTAAGTACATTTGTTTACACTAGGGTTGACACAACAAAATGATAATTCCAATAATTCAAATGATTACAAAAAAACACGGTGGCTCGTACTAACACTCCGTAGGGCCTTGGTTCGATCCCATAAATACATTTGCCTTTCCAATTTGTCGAATGGGTGGGTGGGTACTATTTTTTGATATAAGGATAAAATAGAGCATAATCAAACCAGAGTTTCAATTGTTAATAAAAATTCATTTATTGGTTTTGTTAAAAAAAAAAATTATTTTTTTTGTCTGAATTTAATTGCATCAAAGTCTATAATTTTTATTTATACCCGAGCGCACTTGTGCACAAGGGTATATTAATTTTGTTCACATAACGGTTGTTTGTAACAGCCAAAACGAATCGAGATAGATATAGACAAATGTATACATAAATGCTCAGAATGAATAGAGAAATCGATTAAGCCATGTCCGTCTGTCCGTCTGTCCGTCCGTCCGTGTACACGATAACTCGAGCAAAAATTGAGATATCTCAACGAAATTTGGTATTTCGGTTTCCGTTAATCCAAGGTAGGTTGGTATTGAAAATGGGCGAAATCGGACTGTGACCACGCCCACTTCCCATATAACGGTAATTTCCAGAAATACTAAAACTGCGATATTTTAGTAACTACTGAAGATAATTCACTCAAAATTGATATTTACAATAATTTTCAGACGAAAAATAAGAATATTATAAATTTTTGAAAAATGGGCGTAGCCACGCCCACTTATGGTTACATGTGTATATCTTGGTAACCGCTGCACCAATTTCTTCCAAACTTTGCACAGTGGTTGGCCTTGGTACAGCATACTAAATGGCCGAAAATTTAAAAATCGGACAATAACCACGCCCACATCCCATATAACGGTAATTTAGAGAAATACAAAATCTTCGATAAATCAGTAAATATTGAAGCTAATTTATTCAAAATTGATGATTGCAACAATTCTTTACCAGGAAATACGTTTATGACAAAATTTTGGAAAATGGGCGTGGCACCGCCCACTTATGATCACATACATATATGTGTATCGGTAACCGTTCTACCAATTTGTACCAAACTCGGTATTTTTATTGTGCTTGCTACATAAAAGCAAAACGTTGAAAATTATTGAAATCAGACTAAAATTACGGCCGCTTCTCATATAACGGTAAATTTCAGAAATGCTTGAAACTGCAATATTTCGAAATTTAAGGACGCTAATTTACTCAAAACTAATACACCCCGGCTTACCATCTAGCGGTAGCTTTCGGAAAGTTGAAAAAACATATATTTAATGTTCGGCTCCACCCGAACTTAGACTTTCTTACTTGTTGTAAGTTAAGTTTGTATTTGAAACATATGACCCAACAAAAACTGTAAGAGAACAAATTGGATACAATCGCATATGCAAATTTACAGTTTGCTTATTAGCATATTGGTAGGCACCTATGTATGTACCTGCATACATTCATTTGTACATACATACATATGTATGTATAAATGTATGTGTACCCATATGCGCAATAGATATGGTGCTGCATGAAAATGTTTAAAAGCTGCTTCGCGCTTCAACCTCATTTTCCGAGGCAAACGACAATGTTGTAAAGCTATTTTAACCACGTTGAACACATTGGTTAAAAAATATTAAATTACTACATCGTTTGATAGTAATAGACGAATTCTAAGAAACAAAACTGTGCTAATATTTTAAACTTACAAAAACGTAATTGCAACCAGGTCACAAATTGTATATACATATAGTAGGTACATATATGTATTATCAAACATTTTAATACTAAATACCAAGTGTGAAATTACGCGCAAAAAATTCGGTCGATTTGCATCGATTCCTTCTACAAATTAAAAGTAAATATTTCCTCATCACCAGCTGACATGCAAAAAGCCGTAACTGACAAAAATCGCTTTGTATAAAACGATCTGAGGACTTGTAATTCGACGAAATGCATCATAACCAGGGCCGAAGAAAATTAGCACGAAAAAATCAATTTTAAGCGCTTAGATAAGCACTAACAAAAAAAAATTAAGTACAGTTTAATGTTTTGTTTTTATTCAGTTTATTTCAAGGATTGAAAAATTCCAATGGACATACAAGTGTTGCTTGATATTAAATATCAATTTGTATCCACGCAGAAATGTAATTGAAGTTACGGGTTAATAAAAACCAAATCTGTTTTTATGTTAAGGAATTTTTTAGAGCTTTTTAATAGATAGACGCTGACTTGGGCATTTATAAAACGATTTTTTAACAAGACACCCAGGGCTAGGCAACGAAATCAAGCGCGTCGCCAAACCACTCTTTAGATTTAATAAATGCCAATGAAGCAATTTCGTAATGGACGGAGATAATTAGCGAAGTTTTTTGGTTTCGCCACAAATAGCAAAAAAAACAATAGGTAGAATCTAATGATGGTTTGTTCTTACATTTTCATGAATAGAACCTTTTCCCACTTTCCTTTCGGTACTAAATCGTAACCGAATGACATCTCCCACCCTGCAAAAGCCAATTGGCTGCTGGCTGTTCTTCGTTCAATCATCAGATTTAAGTATTTTGGAGAAGTCATCAAACAATTTTATGAATATACATATGTACGCATGTGCATATGGGTGAATTAATTCTAAACTAAATATAAACTTGTACAATACGTACATATGTACATACATATATAGTATATATGCAGTTGAATATTAAAAATTAAAAAAAAAACTCGCATTTACTTACCCAATGCAATTGTAACATTTGTGCGTTGTTTTTAAACTTTGCTCGGTTTTTTGTGACATTTTTTTATTTTCAATATAGAATAGTAGTTTCATTATTCATTTATATGCTTATGTGAATGGAATCGTACTATGTATTAAGAAATGATAATTTATTGATCACTTTTTTTTTGTTGGTATCTTAAGTTCATTTGAATTGACGACAATTTGTTGCACAAATTTGTATAGTATTTATTATTTAATATATTTTTTTATTTGTCCTTGCTTACATATTTATGTAAATTCAGTTTACATCTTTGTAGGCACAGTTCTAAAACAATATGAGAGATTAGGTAAACATTCCGAACTTATCAAAAAAGGACACGTTTTCCTATTCAAAAATCGAACTATATAAAAATTTTGCGGTGATATATCAATAGCCTTTTGCTGTGTAAACGAAGCAACGTTCTGTTATTTTTTAAATGTTCATTTAACGCGACAGCATCATTTTATATTAACTGGAACACATTTGTATTTCTGTTAATTTTTTTTTCTAAAAATTTGTCAACTAAATTAATCTTGCGTATTTCTCTGAACCTTCCAGATAATTCAATATTATAGTACATATGCATATGTACAAATGCTATATATGTATGTACGTATATTATGTAAACTTCAACTTAAATCGTTCGATATATGTACATTAGGGTGGTCCTTAAAAATATCAATATTATGGGGCACCCCTTATTTTGTTCTGCGTATAAAATTAAGACATTCACAAAAAAATTGATTTAGGAGGCAATACCAGGGTTTAAAAAATTTAATTTTTTTTAATCTCGAAAATTCAACAAAATTTTAACGTTGTCCGGTTGAGTTATTACTCGAGAGAGCTTATCTATATACATACATATGTATGCATATAAAAATGGATAGTGGTTTGTACGGATGCTTAAAACTTAAAACGATTGGATACTTCCTTCTGCACAGTCGCACAATGTTTGTGGCGGAAATCTGGCAATGTCATGCTTTGCACACGGCCAGTTATATGTGGCGTGTTTTCGAGTTGGGAAACCATTCTCACTCTTATTTTACGCCCCGGAGCAGAAATCAAAAGATGTTGTGTATCATGCAGCCTTATGCCCAATTTCCACTAGGCATTGAAATCACAAGAAATGTGTGCCATTTAAAAAAAATGCCATGTGGAAATGAACTTAATGACAAATTTTTTAATGTAATCACACGATTATTTTTAATGCCCGCCATTGTCATTTGTCATTTTTGCCATTTTACCAAGGACAGAATTGAAAAAATAGCGAAAGAAAGAATTAATTCCGTTTCTAAGTTCCAATTTTGTATACAAAAAATAATTGAAGTAATTGAATAAGTAGGGATGGACAATGTTTCCAAAAAATCGGTTTCTTGATTAATCACGTTTTAAACCGTTTAAAAAAACTGGATTCAAAACCTCATCTCTTCGGTTTACCGAAAATTCCCGAATTGTACTAAAAACACTGCAAAAAAAAAACAAAAAACATGAACATTTTGAATTAAACTACATTTTCATTTACACTCATTATTTACTGCTGTGCAACGCAAATCAATTAAAACAATATTTTTGCTTTATTTTATATAACATCTTTATTTCCAAAAATAAGAAATATAATAAAGCGTTGGACATATTTATATAAAAGAAAACTTCACAAACAAAAACGTTTTTAATTTATAGATAAAATATGATAGTATATTATTAACTTCAAAATTGAGTGTACGGTGATTTTTTTTTAATATTTCCAATGTTTGTCATGGAAAATCATATATGTAATACTTCTATATTGGCAGTAAGCTAACTTCTCAATGTGTAAGCATTCCGAAATCAAAGCGAGACAGTCTAGTACCGTTTTTGTCAATGTATCGTGTACTTGAGTGCCGTTTTTGTATATGTGTTGTGTACATGTTTATTTATAAACGTATGTGTTCCTTTTCTTTCGTACGTGTTTATTGATATATCTGTACTGTAGTGTTTTCGGACGGTACTAGCTCTTACTGCTCTTTTTTATTATTTTTTTTATAAATTTTTTATTAAAATATGGCTCATGTTTTAACAAACGACATATAAAACCAAGTTTCAAACTTAGTACGAAATTTCTATATTCACAATCGACTTCACAATCTACTATGCTTAGCTACCAGATGAGCAAAAAAATTTAGTAGTCAATTTCAAGTTTTTGGTACGCCGTAAAATTTTATTCTTATATTGAAGATTTACAAAATAATTATCCATTGCTGGGAAAGGCAAAAACCGAATGTTCGGTTTAAAAGAAGAAAAAAAAGATTAACACCTAAATTTAAAAAAAAAACTGAAAAAAAATCATTAACCAAATTAAAAAAACCGGTTTTTTGAAACAAACATCTTATTTGAACATTTCTTAAACAAATTTGGTTGTTTTTTTTTGAATTTGGTTGTTTTTTTCAGATTTTGGTTGGTTATTTTTATGACAAGTGGCAGCCGCGCTACAGATTTCCGACCCTCTCCGATGATAACAAATAGTATGAATTAATGTTTTCACTGAATTGTTAACTTGTTTCTGTTCTACGTAAACAGCTAATTGACCCGAAAAACATGCATATGTACACTGAGGGAAAAATATTGAAATCAATCAGAAACTTTAGCTCCCAGCAGGTTCGGCTCGAATGCCGTTAGAGGCAACACGTGAGTACTTAATTGTTGTATGAAAATATTATTTTTAAATACGAACATTTTTAAACGATAATCAAACATAAGGTATAAATTTATCATCCGCCTATAGTAAATATGTACATGGAAAACAAAAGTAAAACGTGAACCGGTTCAGGGAAAATGAGACTCAAGATAAGGGTGATTAATTTTTACTATGTATTATTTCCCTCAGTGTATACTCAGTATAATATATCTACTGTACTACCACCATACCGAAAATAATTAACATAATTAAAAAACAAATTCCTTAGCATCCCCGGGCTTTCATTTCTTGCTTGTGTTATTTTACTAGCCCCTACTCGGGTTTTTTTCAGAGTCCACTGAATGAAATAAACACTTATCAGGAGCTTCAAATTAAATTCGCAGAATTTTTGGTATTTAGTTTAATGTTCCTAAAAGATTACTGTGCACTATTTTATATGAATTTACATATGTACATACATACATACGTATGTACATGCATTGGTTGTTAATATCCCAGCTAGCCAAATGCGGAGCGCTCCGAATATAGAGTGAAAAGGAAGGACTCCGAATGTAGAGTGTTTTTTTTTACCATTTTTTTTTGTATCTGAGGCTCAATTCTTCTTTTGCGCTATGGTGAAGTGATATAAATAACACTGAATTTGTGACTTTTCACTTCACGATAACGCAGAATGGAAATTTATTTATTTATTTATTTTTTTTTTTTTTCAGTCAATTGAACAATAAATTCTTACTGACTATAATTCAGAGGTACTTAAAACTAGTTAAAATAGTTGTATAATAAAGTACGAACTACTCCACAAGATAGAGACGGGTCAAAAGTTGGAATATTGTTCAGCTCCACTAAGGTTCTAATCAAGGGAGCATACATTGCATAGTTCGTTTTAGAAAATACGATATAGAAAGAAGAAACACTGCGTAAGTTACGTGTAGGAACATTGAAAGTTATTCTTTCCAAGAGGTTAGGGCAATCAACCGATCCATTCAAGAGATTGGCAACGAATGAGCAAGCAAGATAAGCAGATCTGCTACGTAGAGTTTGTAAATTTAGAAGTGCACAACGTGATTCATATGAGGGAATAATAATAGATTGGCGCTTACACATATGTTAGTGTTTGGCCGAGCTTCTCCTCCGACTTGTGGCGTGCGCCTTGATGTTGTCACACAAAGCGGAAGGACCTACAGTTTTACGCCGACTCCGAACGGCGATTGTATTTTTATGAGAAGCTGTTTTTTTCATGGCAGAAATACACTCGGAGGTTTGCCATTGCCTGCCGAGGGACGACCGCTGTTAAGAAAAAACCTTTTTCTATATTTTTTGTGATGTGTCTTTGACCAGGGCTTGAACCCAGGTGCTGATGAGTGAAAGCGCGCACTGCTTACCACTACACCACAGCGGCCGACATGAGGGAATGGGTTCACTAAAATTCAGTGAGCGTAAAGCAAATTTTATAAATTTTTTCTGTATCCGTTCTAATCGCGTGATATGAGAATTGTGGTATGGTCTCCAAATGAATGACGCATACTCCAACCTGGATCTTACTAGAGTAATATAAAGCAGCTTCAAAGTGTATGGATCGTAAAAAGATGAACTATTACGCCGGACGAAAGCCAGCATCACGTATGATTTGCCAACTATATATTCGATATGCGTGGAAAAATTTAGTTTCGTGTCGAAGTAGACACCTAGATCCTTGACTTCATTAACATGATTAAGAGGAGATCCAGAAATATGATAGCGCGTGTGGAGCGGAATTAGCTTTCTGGTATAAGTACAATGTGAGCACTTATTTATATTTAGATGAAGACGGTTTCGTTTGCACCAATCGTGTAGTTTAACGAGTTCTCCTTGAAGGGCAATGGAATCGTTTATACATTTAATGACAGAGTAAATTTTGAGATCGTCCGCATATAATAGATATTTAGATGACGAGAAGCAGGAACCTATGTCATTAATAAATCAAATAAACAACAGTGGTCCAAGTATACTACCTTGAGGAACACCCGACGTCGCAATAAAAGGCTGTGAGTAGACATCCTCGAACACAACCATGCAATTTCTGTCAGACAAATATGATTTAATCCACTCCAAAAAATTAGAGTGGAAACCCATAGAGAATAATTTAGACACTAAGACCTTGTCTGTCAAATGCCTTTGAAAAGTCAGTATATATTGTGTCGACTTGCTGGCCAGCTTGAAAAGCAGACAGACAATCTTCCGTAAAAATTTCAAGATTAGAGACTGTGGACCTTCCTTTAATAAAACCATGTTGGTTTGGACTAATTAAGCTGCTAACTGAGAATGACAATTTCACCTTAATAACACATTCAAAAATTTTCGCAACTGTGGTTAACTTTGAAATTGGTCTATAATTAGATACATCATTTTTGTTGCCACTTTTAAAAATCGGGGTTATCTGAGCCTTTTTCCAATCATCAATAAATTTACCCGATGCTAAAGACATATTAAAAATCAGTGTCAAAGGTTGGATTAATGCAGGACATTTTTTAAAGAGTATGGCTGAAAGGCCATCAGGATCCATAAGTTTTGAGGTTTTAAGTGAATCAATAC